AGGATAAAGGTATGGCCCTGTGGCCTTAACATGACCGCCATTTCTGGTAATGCACATCTCACATCGTCGCATCATGTCTCCGACTGCACGTCTTACCATTCCGTGGTATTGACGCTGGTTCACCTCATCCACTATCTCAGTTCTTAACTCCTGAATTTTAGCTGGGGGCGTGGAATAAACGTCGTCTTTCAAGTGACATCACAAGAAACAGTCACCTGGGGATCTTGCGATGGGGCCATTCAACTCGGTGGAAAAAATAAATCACCATATCACCAAATGCTCTGCCAAACGATGCCACACAGCCAGGGCCGGATTAAGTGTTCCATAGGTCCGGGTGAGGCACCAGTGTTCGTAAGCCCTACTCCGCACTAGGCACCCGCACCAATTTCATGTTGATGTACTAAACAAGACATGCCAAACTGATAGTTCTAAAAAAGCATGTTGGCATACTGTGGTGTTTTGTAGGCAATCAAAGTTTTCGTACGCCCAAATGTTTTCGTAGGCCCTAGGCACAGTGCCTACATTTGGATAAACCGGGCCTGTACACAGCAACAAGTCTGTGTGGCGGTGCCTGAGCCCACCACACCCACCGTGAAGCACCAAGTGGCTGTCTTTGGATGATCAGCTTCATCCGTGGTACCATCAAGTAATTGGTCATATCCTACATTAGGCGGGCCTTTGTGCCATAAATTCGTAAATAACAAAAGAGCAACGTACACCTGTCCGCAATTTGTCACCCTGGTAAAAACTTGTCTCAGTGCTGATTTTGATCTTTTTCGTAGAGGCCATTTTGCTCAGTCATCCATGGCAATAACATAATAAAATTAATACCATCGGAGGACATCCTGGCCTTGTTCCTTGTAGTTGTCTCTTTTTGAAATATGCAATATATTTCTTATCATTTACTTTATACTGTATTTTGAGACATTCTGTGCTGTTGCAAAAACTTTTTTTTTCTTTTTTTTTTCAGGATTTATTATAATACAGGCGATAAAAAGGGCATGAAAATGTCTTTCAAACATTTAAAAATCATCAATCATTAACATTTTGCCCTCACTTTAAAGTTCATTTCCATACTTGATGATCCTTACAGAAAAAAAATTGTAGTATAAACATTCAGTAATTATTTATTTGAATGCCAGCCACTATTGTAGACATTTTTGCTGGTCATAGTGACATAAACTTGTGTAGACCTCTAATATTATTAAACACAAGTCAGTGTTTGAATTTCTTAATCTAAATCTGTTCAATTAAGTTTAGCCGGTCAATAAGCGGATGGCGGGGACAAACTCATTCTGCAAACGCAGGAGGGCATGTCATGCGCTCTCAATGGAATAAATCGCTTTGAACGTTGGATATTTTAGTCGTACTGTTTTGTCCCTCCTAAATTGCAAAGAATTATACACGACAGCATTCTGACTTTGTCCCTTTTCCTTATTACAGTATTACATATTTACATGTATTTTTGTCCTGAAATGATTTTCATTCCGGTGTTGGTAGATTGCTTTAGTTCAAAGCTACATTTAACAACGTAGTGTGTAGGGTATGAACATTTGGAGTTCTGCTGTGCTTTTGTAGTCATGTCCTGCTGTAATTTTGTATTGTATTCTCCGTGATTATAAGCAGGGACAAGTTCGAACCAGCTGTGTGTTCTTTCAGCAAAACGAAAACTATTCACACACATATCTATCTGAAGTGCTTTCCTTTTGCTGAAAGAACGCACACCTTTTTTTTGTGATCCGTGGAAAAAACGTTGAACGGTGGTTGTGTTTAAAATTCCGTAACTTGAAAAGTACTCAAGTGATTTGAATGATTCTTGTACTAAAAGGAAGCTTAATAATTGGGCTTTTATATCTTAGATTTTGATAATGCTACATGCAGAACTTCATTAAGACATTGGTCCTGCCATTTGGGTTTACTTTTTTTTTTTACTCACCCTGTATAGTAGCGACTGCAACTGCTATGCAGAACTTCATTAAAATATTGGTCTTGCCATTTGGGGTTTCTCTTTTTTTTTACTCACCCTATATAGTAGCGACTATGTATGTGGTATGGACAAAAAAATCTCACGGGTCAATGTTCCATCGCTGGTTACCAATAGCCGTGCACATCGCAATGCACAGTAGGGAGCCAGGATGAAGTACTTACGTTATGGCGTTCGACTAGATGCGTTCGCACGTTGCTGTTAGTGCGCATGCGCAAGTTTAACTCCACGAATCAACCACTAGTCGACTAGTGGCACTCCCTTGAACTGGCTACAGTTTGCAAGTTTGCAAAGGCCTACAGTTGGCCTTAGTCGATTTAAAGAAACTATCGTGGGTTGTTTGGTTGTTGATATTTTGGAAGTCAGTAATTTATAATAACTTTTCAACCCCGCCGGCAGGATTCTTCCGATATGGAGTGGAGAACCGCGACCAAAAATTAACGAAGGGGAATGACATCAGCTCCCCGCCCCTTTGGCTACGGTGGGGCCTGCCCTTCTTCACCAAGAAATTCTAGAGCATTTATGTGTGTGCAATGGGGCGATTCAACTCGGTGGAAAAAAATAAATCACCATATCACCAAACGCTCTGCCAAACGATGTCACAGCCGGATTAAATGTTCCGTATGCCCGAGGTACCAGTGTTCGTAGGCCCTACTCCGCACTAGGCCCCAGCACCAATTTCATGTTGATGTACTAAACAAGACATGCCAAACTGATGGTTCTAAAAAAAGCATGTTGGCGTACTGTGGTGTTTTGTAGGCAATACATTTTTTCGTAGGCCCCAAATGTTTTCGTAGGCCTTAGGCACAGTGCCTACATTTGGATAAACCGGGCCTGTACACAGCAACAAGTATGTGTGGCGGTGCCTGAGCCCACCACACCCACCGTGAAGCACCAAGTGGCTGTCTTTGGATGATCAGCTTCATCCGTGGTACCATCAAGTAATTGGTCATATCCTACATTAGGCGGGCCTTTGTGCCATAAATTCGTAAATAACAAAAGAACAACGTACACCTGTCCGCAATTTGTCACCCTGGTAAAAACTTGTCTCAGTGCTGATTTTGATCTTTTTCGTAGAGGCCATTTTGCTCAGTCATCCATGGCAATAACATATTAAAATTAATACCATCGGAGGACATCCTGGCCTTGTTCCTTGTAGTTGTCTCTTTTTGAAATATGCAATATATTTCTTATCATTTACTTTATACTGTATTTTGAGACATTCTGTGCTGTTGCAAAAACTTTTTTTTTCTTTTTTTTTCAGGATTTATTATAATACAGGCGATAACAAGGGCATGAAAATGTCTTTCAAACATTTAAAAATCATCAATCATTAACATTTTGCCCTCACTTTAAAGTTCATTTCCATACTTGATGATCCTTACAGAAAAAAAATTGTAGTATAAACATTCAGTAATTATTTATTTGAATGCCAGCCACTATTCCCACTTGATCCACCAATTGGTGGATCTGATCCACCTTTTGCCAAATTGCCGGATCAGATCCCCCAATTGGTGGATCAGATCCGGCAATTGTGTGTAGTGGGAACGCTAACCGTTATAAGGTGGATCAGGATCAGATCCACCTTTTCTGATCCACCTCTGGACCAGGATACAGATCCCCCAATTGGTGGATCAGATCCGGCAATTGCCGGATCACGATCAGATGGGAACGCAAAAGGTGGATCTGATCCGGCAATTTGACCTGTTAACATCCGCCCGGTGCACGAGTGGCGCGAAAATGTTGCGGTCTCATGAACGAAGAAACACGTTTTCAGGCGTGTAGCTCATGTGAACATTTCCAGCGTATACAACATGCACAATAAACAACCGCTGAACTACGGGCTAGCACCGCGCATGCAAAAGCGCACGTGGTATCCTAAAACTACACTATAGGCCTTATTTTTGTTGCGTGTTCGTCCATTACTAAACCTTTTTCATTCCTGAAATTTTACTTATTTTTCCATCCATAAATGACTCTGAGTCCGCACTCACCAAAAGACTTCACTTTGGCACAGAATCATGGAAAAGCTTACGAGTATGCGATGAGAATAGTGCCGATAACGCGGTACGTACGGAGGTGACAAATCTGAAGTATTGATTATAGAAAATTGGAAAATGATGTCGTAGTACATCATGTGACCGTTTCTAACCAATGAGAAGCTTCAGAACCAGGGAATCCCTTATCGATGCATTGGTTTCTGCCGTGATGTCACACAATGAGCGGCTCTGTTGGATTTCACCTGTTAATTTATGCACGCACGGATCCTCTACGGATCCGTGATTTATGTAGGTAAATTCGCGTAATTTTTGTCTGTGAATTCTGATAGTGCTGTTTGAAAACTGACCCATCCTGGCCTAGCATGCAACCATGCAACAATGGCACTCACACAGAGCGCGCGTAATTCCGAACTCAGTGACCTTTCGGACCCAACATTTCCGTACGAAAAGGTGGATCAAGCATAAGTGGGAACGCGACTTGCGGTTTCGTTGCGGTAAGATAACGATCACATCAAAATGCCGGATCTTGATCCACCTTTTTCCAATTCAAGTGGGAACGCGGTGATTTTTGCTGGTCATAGTGACATAAACTTGTGTAGACCTCTAATATTATTAAACACAAGTCAGTGTTTGAATTTCTTAATCTAAATCTGTTCAATTAAGTTTAGCCGGTCAATAAGCGGATGGCGGGGACAAACTCATTCTGCAAACGCAGGAGGGCATGTCATGCGCTCTCAATGGAATAAATCGCTTTGAACGTTGGATATTTTAGTCGTACTGTTTTGTCCCTCCTAAATTGCAAAGAATTATACACGACAGCAATCTGACTTTGTCCCTTTTCCTTATTACAGTATTACATATTTACATGTATTTTTGTCCTGAAATGATTTTCATTCCGGTGTTGGTAGATTGCTTTAGGCGGGCGGGCTAAATACCCCCTGTTCATTTACCGTGGGACGGTATTGTTATTGAGGAAGTGTGGGACCCTTCAAGCCAAAGCGGGAGACGGTCCACGCATGAACGCACACGGTACAGCCGTGCATGGTGACGGTTTGCAGTGGGGCTTGTATGTTTAGGGCAGACAAAAGATCAGAGGATTAGCAATGTACCAGGTCTTTGCGGTCGGTGAGTAGAAGCCGCCACTGATGGGTATGAAACCGCAGGATTCATTGTTACAAAAATGGTTATTTGTAGCGGGAGCCGGGAGTGCCAACCGTGGGACGGTTTGTAGAAACAGGTCACCCGCTTTCTTTTCAAGCGGGAGCCGATAAAAGAGGGGCTCCATTGAAAGCGGCTCCCGGTAAGTGAACAGGGGGTATTTAGCCTGTCCGCCTTAGTTCAAAGCTACATTTAACAACGTAGTGTGTAGGGTATGAACATTTGGAGTTCTGCTGTGCTTTTGTAGTCATGTCCTGCTGTAATTTTGTATTGTATTCTCCGTGATTATAAGCAGGGACAAGTTCGAACCAGCTGTGTGTTCTTTCAGCAAAACGAAAACAATTCACACACATATCTATCTGAAGTGCTTTCCTTTTGCTGAAAGAACGCACACCTTTTTTTTGTGATCCGTGGAAAAAACGTTGAACGGTGGTTGTGTTTAAAATTCCGTAACTTGAAAAGTACTCAAGTGATTTGAATGATTCTTGTACTAAAAGAAAGCTTAATAATTGGGCTTTTATATCTTATATTTTGATAATGTTACATGCAGAACTCCATTAAGACATTGGTCCTGCCATTTGGGTTTACTTTTTTTTTACTCACCCTGTATAGTAGCGACTGCAACTGCTATGCAGAACTTCATTAAAATATTGGTCTTGCCATTTGGGGTTTCTCTATTTTTTTACTCACCCTATATAGTAGCGACTATGTGGTATGGACAAAAAAATCTCACGGGTCAATGTTCCATCGCTGGTTACCAATAGCCGTGCACATCGCAATGCACAGTAGGGAGCCAGGATGAAGTACTTACGTTATGGCGTTCGACTAGATGCGTTCGCACGTTGCTGTTAGTGCGCATGCGCAAGTTTAACTCCACGAATCAACCACTAGTCGACTAGTGGCACTCCCTTGAACTGGCTACAGTTTGCAAGTTTGCAAAGGCCTACAGTTGGCCTTAGTCGATTTAAAGAAACTATCGTGGGTTGTTTGGTTGTTGATATTTTGGAAGTCAGTAATTTATAATAACTTTTCAACCCCGCCGGCAGGATTCTTCCGATATGGAGTGGAGAACCGCGACCAAAAATTAACGAAGGGGAATGACATCAGCTCCCCGCCCCTTTGGCTACGGTGGGGCCTGCCCTTCTTCACCAAGAAATTCTGGAGCATATATGTGAGTTTCTTCTTTGAACCACTAGTGGGTGAAACATATCAAAGACAAAAGTGTTGGTTTAAATCTCGTGGTATTTACATGCACTTTGATTTACATCTCATTTTAATCTAGCAGGCGTTATTGCAGTTCGGTTTTACAAGATATGTAAACCATCCTTGGAACCAAATCAAATCCAATATGCAATTCTAGCTAAACACAGTAACAAAATAAATGTAAACTAGAAGATGAGGTAAGTAATATAATATACCGCCAAATTTAAATCACTTTTCTAAAAGAAATCGACAATGAATTCATTTCGTTGTCAATATTGATAAAAGCACCATGTCTCTCGGTTGTGAGAATGGTTCTGAGTCAATGGTGGGGATAACATACTCGTTTTAACCAAGTGGGATTGGGACATGCCCCCTACTTTCTTGATCAGTACATGATTGTGTTTACAGTTCGTGACAATTGGTGTTACATTGGCTGATGCAATTTTACTTCAAAACAATTAAATGTAACAAAAATACACATCATATTCAGCCCTTTTGTAACATTCAATGACCGATGGTTAGGTAAATAACGATTTCTATATGTTTAATTTTATGCACGATGGTTTTGATATAATATTATAAAGTGTATACACAACTTATATCTTCTCCAGGTGAATGACAACGGCGTTTTGTCTTTTGATAATGCCGTCAACGATCACTCCGAGCCACAGGAAACTTTCCCAGTAGGACCAATTCCTGCCAATTCTCCTGTAAGAATTATTTTTTTTCTTCTATCTTCCAATCATCATTATCAACAACATCATCACCAACAACACCAACAACGCCAACAACAGTACCAACAGTAACAGCAACAAAAACACCTACACGAACACCACCAACAACAACACCAACACCAGCAAAAAAAGGAGTTTAAACAAGGAGATAGTGTACGACATACATTTATAAATCAATACACACATTTTCCTAGATTAAAATAGTACAGGTCGATGAATTGTAATTCACTCAGATTCGCTTATAAAGGAACGGAATGCAAAATGTACAGTTTGTTGCATTTGGATGGTGAGCAGCCCCAGGTCAAAAATGAATAATTTAAATATGGCAAAACAAAACAATTATTCAAAGTTAATAAGATTCTACTGGGGAGATAATATTATTTTAAACGATTCATTAGGCCAAAAAAAAACACAAGTTGCAGGTGTGCGTGCGTCGCCGTAGCCATGCACGTCGGTAATATTAAAAAGTTTTTTATTCAAAGAAAGATGATGTCTCAAAACCGCCAAACTCACTGGTTTGAATGGAATCCTGCTGCTGCACAAGTTTAACGTGTTTTTAGATGGAGTTACAATCGAGTATGAGCTTTATGTGTCCTCTCTGGGTTCCCATACATTTTGTACTAAATTTAGTCGGACACCATTTGCAGTCATCAGCCGACATTTGAAGGAAAAAAACAAGTTAACATAAAACAAACAAAAACGCGGTCCGGCACCACTTTTGGGGAAAGCTCCATACCAGAGACCGAAGACTTTTTTTTCGCCTTAGGCCAAAAATAAAAATAAGTCGGTCTCTGGTCAGCGCGCGCGTCGATTTTAATCATGCGCGTCGATCATTTTTTTTTCCAAAATGTTCCGCGGTAGCTCCAACAGCGCCCTCAATTTCCGCACATCCTCAATTTTTTTTTTACCAAAGAGCACCAAGGAATGGGAAATTGCACCAAGGCAAATGATCGAAAGCAACAAGGCAAATTATGGAGGACACCAATGTACATGAGGACACCAAAAAAGCAAAATAGTACCCCACCTTGTCTGTACAATCCAAGCTTGAAAAAAAAAAGCCGCGTCGCCGCGTCAATTCCGGAACTTTGGTCTGACCAGAGACCGAATCTTTTTTTTTTGGCCTTATGCCAATTTTTTTTTTTTTTTTTTATGGTCGCTATATTGTCAATATGTTTTTTTCCAGGTGAGGTTCTTGTCAAAAGGAAATTTAGTAATTTTTACTTGACTTAGACTTGAGTCATTAAAATTAAAGGAACCGATCCAGAGTAATTATACTAAAGGGCATACAAAAATCATATTGTTCGATTTCAACAAGTTAATACATAGTTTGTTGCGAGATTCAAGACAAAATCTAGAGGAAGAAACAATAACAGCAGCAACAACAATATCAGCTAAACACTATCATCATCAACAACAACAACAAAATCAACAACAATATATCATAAGCTATATGATCCAACATGTGCAAGAATTAAAAACAATAAAGACAAAAACAACAAGAGGAAACAACAATAGCAGCAACGACAACAGCATCAATACCACCCACAACAACAACATATCACAAGCTATGTGATCCAACACGTGCAAAAATCAAAAACCAAACATTCAAGATAAATACAACAAGAGGAAACAACGATAGCAGCAACGACAACACCATCAACACCACACACAGCAACAACAGCAAAAACAACAACATATCACAAGCTTATATGCTACAACACGTGCAACAATCAAGTAAGAAACAATCAAGTCAGAAACAACAACATCAACAACAACTACAGTTACAGCAACAACAAACTTCAGTCACATTAACTACCGCATAGGCCTACAAATGTATGAATCACAAGAGATTCCCTTTTCCCCAGTTGTTGTTATACTTCACCGGATTCATTACTGAAAGTCCTCGATTTTGACCAAGCTACGATCCACGTATCATATCTCTACGCAGGGTGAGGTCCCACAACAAATGATGCTGATAGCTCCTTTCTACGCCAACGTGGACATCATGGAGAGCGGACAGATCTTCTACCGGCAGAGCACTGAAAAGGATCTGATGGACAGGTGCGATCGGGCAATCCACCAGTACTTCATCTACCACGCTGACTTCAGGACCAAATTCATGGTCATCGCTACCTGGGATGGGGTCAGCTTCTTCGGCTACCAAGGCGGCTCTGCCCCGGTAAGTAATTTGAAAGGCCTCCGTTTTCAAACAACCGACCTAGCAAAAACAGGCTAAAACTGACAGGCCAACTAACTTACTTACCGACCGATTACCGACCGATCACCTAGCAACCGACCTACCCCAACCACTGACCGATTCACCTGCTAAATGATCAACTCACAAATGTACAAGCCTACCGACAGACCAACAAACCGGTTGACGGCTGTCAAGCCGACGTTCCGAACAACTAACTGATCGACTTGCGTGTAAACTAAAAAAAAAACGACCGGACCACTGACGGTGAGCTAACGTGGGGACTATTAAATTGCCACGAAACATGATTTACATATCAACTTAATAGTAATTGGTTGAGTGATCGATCGAAACAATAATTACTGCTCATTCAAATTTAATTATTGATCATTTACACATGGTTTATTGTTTGCAGACGAATACATTCCAGGTTGTCTTGGCAACCGATGAGTTTGAAACGTTCGCCTTTTACCGGTATAGAAGTATTCAGTGGACTACCGGTACCGAAAGTGGAGGATCGGCCAGCACTGGTAACGGTGGGAATGCAGCGATCGTGAGTCTTATCGTTTTCCCTTTTTAAATGATTCCAGCTTTTAAAAATTTGTTGATGAATGTGTGTCCAAAATGTAGAGTGACGCCACGAAAGAGTATCGGTCTATCCATGAAAGGAATTTAAAAGGAAATACGAATCGGTTTGGAAACAAACATTCACTAGGATCGGGACTTGAACCAGACTGTGACATTGAGTGGTGAAAAACATGCAAAACGAAATCAGGCTTACTCACTCTTTATAGCCAGCACATATTCTGCAAAATGTTCATTGAGCAAAGAAAACGCCTTCAGTATTTCATCAACCAAGTTTAAAGACTCAATTCAGTTATTAAAGGAAACTTTTCTTCAAAATTTTGCACATGAGTGGGCGGTCAAGTGATTTCAGCTCTTTGAAAAGACTGACCTCTTCATTGTCATCAGTCTGGCGGATGACTGTGGAGTAATGTGTAGAAATAGAGAAGAGTACCACAGGTGCCTAATGTTTCTTTTGGCACATTGATGCAGTACTGAAGGGTTGTTGAACTGGTTTTTTTTAGGTGCCAGTCTATTTTCTTGTATTTCATGTTTTTAATACCTAAAGTTTTATTTATTTATTTATTTATTTATTTATTTATTTATTTATTTCAAAATCTGTATACAGGATACAAAATATCAGCACAAAGGCTGTTTTACATTGTGGTCCTGTAATGAAATAAAAACATTTGAAAATAGTAAGAGAAAAAAACAGCACTTAAAAATGATGGAAAAATAAAATTAACAATTAACAATGAAGATAATATGAATAAAGAATAAACCATTATGATGGTAAAAGTGTACATTAAAAATGTATTAAAAAAAATATTCACAGTGTATACTCCTGCATGCATGTTATTTCAAAAAGTTGTAATTTAAAAAGAAAAACATGTATGACATTACAGATGGGTTTCAATGCGGGAGATGACGACAATTACTACATAGAGAATCTGTACAGCGGCCAATCACAAGAACTGAAGAAACTGCCGCAGAACACCAACAACGGCGAGACAGGCATGTTCGTGTATCAAATCAGTCGCATCAACGTGCAGTACCCGGTCTGCAGAGAAGGTCAGAATTAAAATATATATATATTAATTTTGGGGGCTTGTCAAAGAGGGCAAGCCTGACAGACTGACTGACAGACTGACAGACTGTCACTTGTGAGTTACCTATCTCACTGACTGACATTCGCTTGTGACGTGAGGCAGGTCTAGGACCAACTTTGCGAGGTTTACCTATTCTTGATTTGATTTAGCACTCACATCACAATTATGCATTTAGTCTGGCGCCGCTTGTTCATATCTCCATGCGAACGTCAAAAGTGGATTTCCACCACTACAGCTGCGATTTTTTAGCCATCAATTGAAGCAATTTAATATAATCTGGAATCATCTGTCTTTGGCTTGTCTTGTCTTCTTTACTCGTTTTCTCTCATTGCAAAATTGTAGCATAGCACTGGGTATCGTAAAATCCAAGCGTGATTCATACCGTCTTGGATCTATTGTCACAAAAGAAAGTTAGGCTACATCTTGTCCGCCTCCTCGTAAAAAAGACTTGTTTTACGAAATGACCATTATTTTTATTTTTTTACTCTATCCTACCTTAGGTGAGTTTAAAACCTACCCCCGCTACGATTCCATGCTTGGTCATTCCTGGCTGCTCTTGGCAGGACCCTGCTTCGACCGGACCAGAGAGCATTGGATCCTCTTCGGCGACGTGGATGAGCCCAAGGCCATCCAGAACTGCACCTACCACACCAAGTGGATGGTGTACTGCTTCTCGCCTACCTTGTTTGAGGTGAAGCGCCAGATGGACGTTCACCTGTCCACCAATGACGGCGTGGACTGGGCCTACCGAGGCAACTTCGATATAGGTGAGTATTGCAGTGTAAACAGGAATCACTGACGCATCCATGAATGGCCTTGGTCCAAGACTCGATATTGGATAGTTTCCCCTAATACAGCCGGTCCCTGACAATAGACCTTGATCATGCTGCCACCATTTCAGTCATGTTTTCTGTGTCCAATAACAGTACTGAATGATATTTTTTGTGCGAAAAGGACCCAGACTATTTTTCCCGTCCAGTCTCGCTTTGGTTACGTTGATTTGAACGGGAAAAATCCAAATGGCTGCAACATGATAATGGTCTATTAGGACAAATCCGCCACGGTGGAAGTCGCTATCAAAAAAAGGGTGAATCAAATGCAGTCTTGGGGATTTCGGCAGCGCTACCCAGGGAATTCCGAGCATACGTCAAGCTCGCTGACGCACGCGCATGGGGTATGCTCAGTATATCCCAAATTTTCTTTTAGCTCTGACGACCAAATCTCTCTTCCTAAAGTAAATCATAATTCTAACGTAACTGTTATATTCATGCAGATTAGCGAAATGAGCCCAAATTGCTGCACTGGGACCTTTTTACACATTTTTTAACCGTCCTATTTCACGCAGTGAAAATCGGAGACGGACCCCAGCTCGTGAACCGAGTGAACCCGGACAGCGAGTCGTGGCTTCGCGCCGACCGACCAGTCACCATCGAGTGGGACCCCAAGTTAATCAACTTCACCCAGGTCCGCATTGACGTGTTGGCTTACGGCGAGCCAATAGACCCTGATACTGGCCTGCCCGGGCCGCCTACCTGGGAAGAGATTGACGAGGTACAAACTTTACGTCTGTTAAACAAAACAAAACGAAAATCAGCAGACTGTAGTTGTCGGGTCCATCCCATTGATTGAATGACTTGCCAGGACTTGTGATTGGCTCAACCACAATACTGCCCCACAGACACCTCAGGAGTGACTACATTACTCTAGCTAGCATCTCCGTGGAACGATCTGTTGGAAAAAATGATGGTGAAGCAGCGAAGGCCTACGTTTTACACGTGTAGATTTACTCAAAACCACACCCAGTGAATTCTGTGTTCCAAAAAAACAGCTCTCAAACTTATAGCAGATGGTTTACCAAAAAGACTCCAAAATCATGACAAAATCGTACAAATGAGTACAGCGCATAGTATTCGAAGGCAGACTTACCGACATGTGTCTGATCAACGAGAACAGAAAAAATTCTAGGAATTAGGATTTTCCTCCAGGTTTTAGACTCTTTACCAATCCCCTTTACCAACGACCCTTGTGCTCGCTTTTGTAGCCCTTGGTGAGTGGCTTTTAGCCTTATAATAGGCGATTTCCCTAGCATGATTTACTAGGAACATACCCATCCTGGCAAATTCCAACACCGTATGGGAAACTGCACACACATATTTCTGACTTTGATTCTGGAGGTGTGCCATCCCAATGTAAAAGTCAGTTTAGCGTACCTTTCCTGACAGATTCCAACAAAACATGCCGTTGGGGTTCCGATGCGTTGAGTTCTGGAAGGGTTAAGAATAAACCTGTCAAGTACCAATATGATGACATTTTTTTCCTTTAATTAATTGATGAACTTTCATTTATAAGGTGTCCTATACTGTGCCAAACACCGGCCGGTACACGTGGACTTCGCGGGCCGTCTACCAGGTGAACGACCGGAACTGCATCGGTGTCATCAGGGTCACGCGACGCTTTAAACGGTAGGTTGCGGGCACATCGAGGAGAGGCTTCAAAACATTAAACAAAATACCGAAAAACGACTGATGTTTTGTATTGATGCTAATCAGGCTACATTGGCGGTTTGGTTTGGGTAAATTTATTGGTAAAAACAGATTTGCTGTATAGCAAGGGCTAAACCTTAGAGCAGTTAACAGTACTTATGCAATAAGCCTAAAGATGGAAAGATTTGTTTCCGAGCGCGGACTTAACAGGTCGCTGTGCAGCCTAACTTTCGGCAAAGGGCAATTCAATGATACCTGCGCAATGTTTGCTTGTTTGTTTTTGAAATCAATACACGCTGTAAAGAAAGCAAACAGGTTGACCTGAAAACGAAGCGCGAGGGAGTCGGGTTGTTCATCGTCTCTAGATTGCATTTTAATCGTGTATAATAGATTACATTTTAATCTAGATTGCATTTTAATCGAAACGGGAACAAGACTCAGTTTGAGCACATTCGCTGGTTTGTGATGTTGTGCGCTACTGCTCAGATACAAGGAATTGCCCATGTTGACGGCAATCATTGTTACTGTTGCCGCCGCACTGCCAAAACTGTATCTTGCAATTAAACACTTTTCTATACACTTTCGTGCTATCGATTTATAAACATGTTAAAATTCTTAATATGTTTATTAGAGTATTGATGGATAGTCATTGAACATTGATATCTAGGAATTGGACACCCAATGTTTAGTTTCCAAGGGTGGATCCAGAACACAATTTTTGGGGGGCCAAAAAGTGGGTCCCAACAATTACGGCTAGGGGTTCGGTGCCTGCTTAAGGGCCCTGAGAAATTTTTGGATACTAGATGCTCTGTAGTGCGATCTGAGGCAATTTCTGACCACTTTAACCACCACTTTAAAGCTGGTGGTGCACGCAGTGCCTGCCTTTATTGCGACGTCACTTTAAAAAAATATTTGGTTCGCCTTTTTTGGGGGGCCCTCCCCCCGGATATCGCCCATGTTACCTTCTAAACATGTTTACAAAGTGATAGCAACTTGTGTTTAACTGCTAAACACAGTTTTTAGAGTGCAACGAGGGGATACCATGTTGCTCATTGGCCTTAACTTGTTCGATAATGAATTCCCATTTTCTCTGTGTGTTGTACAGTGACGACCTGGCACTCTGGAGCGACCTGCATTTCCTTGGCTACATCATGAACGACAAGTTCCAGAACGACCCGTCGACCTACTCCAACCTCCGCTGTGACGAGTTCTACGAACGGGAGGTAGAGGCTAAAGTCGAAGAGGAACTCCTCAACAGCCTGCGTCACTGCCCCTGCAACATGACTCAGGCACTGGCCGACAGGGGGCGCTTCAAGCCTGACCCCATGTGCAACATGGACGACGCCGTGCAAGACCGTACCCAGGAGTATTGTCGTTTCAGGGATGACGTGGTCCACTGCGTCGCCAGCATCGTTCCTTCGTAAGTACTGTCAAGACAGATGTCCCTTAACTATCCGGCACGTACGTGTCTGCGTCAGACACGCGCGTGCACCACTGATTAACAGCGCCTATTTGCTAAATGCGCCACTTCACAGACACTCTTGTTTTACTATACTCCCGAGGACAATGCTTTGTGTTTTCCTTTGTCCCAGTAATATAACACTCTCCCATAGACTAAGCACACAAACAGAGGACCGTTTTGAACAAAAGACCCAACTCCCGACGACTGAAAGGATCTGTTGTTCTCCCTTTGTGTTTTTGTCCTCGGGGGTAATGTAGAACAAGTCCACTATTTCCGGTCCCATTGGTTCCACAGCTACATGTTTGTATGCAGTGCGCATGGTTAAATTGAAATGATGCCACACTTACAAATTGGAATGGGCAGCTGCGGGTATCGTTTAATTATCAGGTGCTATGTGTTACCATTTAGGACTCCAGACTCCACAACCGTTCAGTTTTATGAAAATGGGTCTGGGAACGAGATATGATTGCAGAAGTTCCTGGATGTCCGCGCAAAACTATTCCACAATATGTTGTACTATATGTAACTGGTAAAAAACAGCAACATTTAGTTTCTTTTTCAAACAATGAAAAATACTGATTGCTTTAATATTGCTTAGAATACCGGCCTGGAATCGGTAGTATTTGCTGAGTAGTAGAGATTTCTCAATGGATCGTCCATTGTCCATGGTTCATCAATTTTTTCCGCAATGAGTGTTGGTTTACACAACTTAAACACGTCACCGACACAAGCATACTCTGCATATCAACGCAGACGTTTATTGAAGTCGGTTATAAATATGTTACATTTTTTCCCCAGTAATATCTCTGTACATTGAAATGCCATTCCTTCCTTTCTTCCAAAAAGTGCAAACTTCTGCGATGAGAAGAAGAATCTCAACAAATTGTACTCCAAAAACAATACACGCACTTGACTCACTGTGCCAAAAATATAATATTATATACAGTGCAGGGGTGCAGGTTAAAAAGAAAAATCTTGAAGCTGGTGAATAACATCCCTCAACGCTGATTTGAATGTATCAAGGGAGGGTATAGCTGGCTGGGTTCATCTGCAGGGAGTTCCAGTCCCTGCAAGTTTGTGGCAAGTGCCCTGCATTGGGACACGAGAAACCGTGAACTGTGATCTCTAGTACTGCATGTAGCTTCAGTGAAGAAGGAACTGTAGTCTATGTCGACCAAGTTTTACGGATCCAATCGCTAGAAGGTTTTAGAGACGTCTGGTCTTGAGTGAACTCCAGTGCAAGTCATAGCATGGATGTTACACGGCAGGTGCGGTCAAAGTTACCAGTGACATAGTGGCCGCTGCTGCGCTGAGCTTGCTCCACATTTATGGTTTTCTTTGTGTGTGGATCCTAGCTAGGCTGGAGCGGCGTAATCAACAATGAGGCGAACGTATACCTGGGGATCGTTATGTCATTAAATAACGTCATTAAATTAATAACTTGGTTCTTTATCGTTTCCACCTGCAAAGACCCGCCGGCCATGACTCAACCTGCTGCTACGATGAGTGGGAGAATCTAGTCTACGCAGGAGACAGCTCGTCTGGGAGCTTCTCACGAAGGGTCACCGTGGAGGGCATTCTGCCGTATAACGAAGCTGGAAAGGTAGATTAGAATTTAGAACTCCACACTATAATCTCTTTCAGTGCCCGCGAAATTTGAAAAGTTTAACCCTAAAGTACCCAACTTCAAGCATTTTTTTTAATTGTTCAAAATTCTGTAAAAAAAAAAAGGAAAAAAAGGTAAATATGTTTTACTCACTAAGTTTCTTATTGTTGCTCTCTGGTATATCCTTGGTACAATGGAATTTTAATAGTAGTCACGCACATAGTGATACACCCTAAAACACTGTCCTGCACACAGGGGAATTCCGCACTTTTTGCCGAAAATGGGCTGTAAGTGCTGCGCCCTCTCGCAAGAACTCGAATGAAACAAATAAATACAGGTCGTACCTGAATGAAAATGCTATTATTAGAAAGAGTGAGAGCGCCCCCTTGGATAACATGCTTACTCTACCTCGTATATGTACGAGGTTTGGCGATTTTAAGTACGAACATTACCTCGTACATGTGCGAGGTTGGCAATTTCGAACTGACAAATGTATCTCGTACATGTACGACCTTTGGCATTGAAAGAGTTTACGAACGCTGCAACTTGCAATTCATGTTAAAATTACAGTTTCAGCCAAAGAACTTCGTGGAATTGATACAATCACAAAATGTATAAAGGCAAGTTACGCTCATCAGGTTTCCGGCAATCATACGGAAGTACACACAGTTTAGCAGCTTTAGGCCAGGTACAGGCTCAAAATCAGTGTTCATTTGAAAGACGAAACTAAAAGGGCCAGATCTTTTCTATATCCAACACACCTTTATTCCCTACAGGTGCCCGAGTTGTCCTCGGGGATCGCCGACCTGGCCCCATACTACATGTGCTGCATATGGGGCGACCACTGCGACTATTACCAGGAAGTCAGACCGACGCGTGACTGCAGGGGGTACCGTACTGTCCGGCCAGGTAGGTAGATAGCAGCACTGCGTCGTGCGGTAGCGTACGCCCTTCATAACTGGCCCCTTGGCGAAGGCCTTAATAATCTTCAGCCAATAACGATGCCATTTTGGGTGTCTAGGGTTGCAGGCCAATGAATGGAACAAAAATTGCCAGCAACGCTGGCCAAATCAAGATGTGCATGCCTTCAAAGTCTCTAGAGCATTTTGAGGGCCATGAACTTGAGGGTTGTTAAAAAAAAAAAAAGAACGGTGGAAACAGGACAGTGCATTTCTGTGAAATTTGGCCCTGAAATTGCACTGGAATGCAAGCATCATTTCTCAATGGCGAAGGGAGTATCGTTATAGCTCAGTTAGAATTTTGAGGAACTGCAAACCGATTGGATTGTTGCAATTTTATCTTCATTTTAATTGTATTGTATTGTATTAGTTTATTTCCATTTGTCACAAATTAATATAATGCAAATGCAACAGTTTATTTACTACAACAATAACTAAACTTAATAGAATGCTAATACATGTACAACACTTTGATCAATTAAAAATAAATGGTGACAGATGGGGAAACTAGGAAAAAAGCCTAAGCTTATACAGAGCCTGGTCCCGTTTGTGAATAACTTAAGAAATAAACAACAATTAAAGCTATAGTTTAAATCAGTGGTCAATAAATTAATTAATTAATTACTTGGCATAATAGTAGAAAAACTGAAGGAAATTGAAATGTACATGGGATTGTACTAAGTTACAATATAACATTTGATTATGATGGAGTGTGACTTATACAAATGTGAATTATGGGTGCACGTCTTATATAATACCGGAAATAAGTAGATTTTTTAGATATCTTTTGAATTTATGCACAGTCCGGAAGAAGGGTATAGGGGTAAGCTGATTCCAAAGAAGAGGGCCTTGGTGTCTAACTGTTTTCATGAATGATGCGGTCCTAGCCTTGCCAATGTGAATTTTTTTGGCTGATCTTGTGTTATATAGATGGACATCTAGATTCCTCACAAACTTGGACCTGATATGTGTAGGTAGAAGTTTACCTTCGAATTAAAACATAAGGATTCCTAGATGGTATTTGTACAGTTCAAAAATATTCAGTGTTTTATATTGTCTAAAAAGGGGCGCAGAGTGTTCTCTGAAACCGGAGTCTGTGATGATTCTCATCAGCTTCTTCTGTACTATTAATAATTTATTCAAATAAGTACTATGGGTATTTCCCCATGCTAGAATTCCATATTGAAGATGGGGTAATGCAATTGTATTATAAATAGAGAAGAGGACATTTCTAGGTAGTATATGTCGAAGTTTACGTAGTACACCCAATAACTGGGAATGGATGTGTGAACCTTTTGGCACTGTAATTTCCATGAAAGGTTACAGTCAATTATGACACTTAAAAATTTGGATTGATTTACTTGGCTTATCTAAGATTTATTAATATAAGGATTAATGTCAACATCATTGTACTTTTTTGAAAATAACATAAAACATGTTTTCTTTTCATTTACCGACAATTTGTTACATTCAAACCACATGGAGACATTCTTAAGTTCTTTGTCTATAATTAAAACAAGCTCATTTAAATTAGAGTGACTACGGTTGTGTCATCCGCAAATAAAATAAAAGATAACAATTTCGAAGAGTTACAAATATCGTTTACATATATAAGGAAGAGTAATGGACCTAAGATTGAGCCTTGTGGTACGCCACAAGTAACTGACTTAAGGGTTGATTTATTATTTTTCCATTCAACAAACTGTTTCCTGTCACAAAGATAATTTCTAAACCAGTCCAGGGTCTTTCCCCTAACACCATACCTATTAACTTGTCAACAAGGTCAATAAGGGCCATCTGAGTTGAGAAATTAGCGCGGAAACCGTACTGAGAGTCACATAGAATATTGTACTTAGTTATAAAGATTTCGAGGCGATTTGCAACTAGTCTCTCAAGTACCTTGGAGAGACATGGTAATATTGAAATAGGGCGGTAGTTGCAAATTAACTGAGGGTCACCGTTTTTGAATACAGGCATTACTTTTGCAATTTTAAATTCATTTAGTACAATTCCAGTCGATAAAGATAAATTAAAAACTTTCAACAAGGGCTCAGCAATAAAAGCGCAAATTTGTTGAATGAGGTAAGTGTCTCAATTGTCGTGACCTGGACTTTTTTTAGCGGGCAACCCGTTGATACACTTCAAAAGTTCATCGTTTGTTATTGGAGTCATAAAGAAAAGAATTTGGGAAATCACCTTCAATAAAATCAGTAGGGTTTAATTGGGAATTAGGAATCTTGGATGCTAAATTAGGACCAGTGTTTGTAAAGAATTCGTTAAAATGTTCAGCAATTTGTTCTGGATCATCTAGTACAATATTATTTATAAGAAATGAATCGGGACCCAACGACTTCTTTTTGTTTTTGTTTAATACATTGTTAATAATTTTCCAGGTATTTTGAATATTATATTCTACATTTTCGAATGAAGCAGAGTAGTAGTTTTTCTTTGCTATCCGTATGAGTTTTGTTAACCTGTTCCTAAAGTTATTATATTTCTTTATATTGCTTTCGTTTGGGTTATGTAAATAACACTTATAAAGTTTGTTTTTTCGCCTAATGGATCTCAGTAATCCCTTTTAATAATGTATCTAAAGCCCGATGTTTAAGATTCATTACCCAACAAGCTGACGAAACTTTGTATTGTGACGTTGGATTGTGTCTAATTGCTTTTGTCATTTTGTTTTTGTTTATTTTTCTTTTTTATTGTAGCGTCTGTGTACGGAGACCCTCACTTTGCGACCTTCGACGGTGTTGAGTACACCTTTAATGCTAAGGGCGAGTACACGCTATTCGAAACCACGTCGGCATCCCAGACACAATTCACACTTCAGGGTCGGTTCGAGGACATCCTCGATCGAAAGGGTAAATTAATCGCTCCGTGATTAATCAGGGTCAATACGAGAAGCTTAACATCGTTTCGTGGTTTTTTTTTTTCAAGTGAGTCGAATACATTTAAAACGTGCTTCGGTATAGGCCTATGTTAACGTCATCGAAACATCTGTATTAAAGGTACTTAGATCATTTTCTTATCTTTCGACGTTTCTTCTCGTTCCCAAAGGCATACGTAGGAAGGCAACTGTACTGACGGCTGTGGGGATGCAGCAAGATGACAAGGAAAAGATCATGATCCGCAAGTCCGATCGGACCGTCCTGGAAGTTTACGTCGAAACCGAGCTCCTGGAGATCGATGACCAGACCACCATACGGGAAGAAAGTGGGTATCTTTTTGTATATCCAGCACCTTTCACAACAAAGTTACGCCCCGACGAGAGCAATGGCACCAACCTAAGCCAATGGCCCCAACAGTTGGAATCATCACAAGTGCAGTTTGTAAATAAGAATAAGAACACGGTTGTTAGAAAGAGCTGCTGATGGCACTGTGCAGCATTTTCCCCTACTCAATGAGGCACATAAAATATCGATTCCAAAGACCACCTCAGCTCCGTGGGAAGTGATGACTCGATGCTGCCATTTCGGCGCAAAGCCTCTGAGCACAATCCCAGCGAACCATTTTCTGCCATCGTAGATATTCACAGTAATTGTAAACTCCTTGCTCTCCGCTCACCACTCGTGTGTGTTATTTCTTTCCCGTTCAGATTTCTTCCTAACCTTTCCCCAGAAGAAGGAGAAGGGGAACTTGACCCAGGTCATCGTGACATTCATCAACTCGGAGATGTCGGTGGTCGTCAACGGCACACAGGAAATGCTGACTGCGCAGATCCTGGTGCCTTACCTATTCAGGGTTGGTTTCCAACGTGTAGTTGGTGACTTTTTCTTACTTTTTTTCTTACTCCCAAGTCCTGATAAAAAAAAATGAATCCAATTCTATAAAGCCAATTACTACTGGTTGTAAGTGTAGAATACTCCAGTGAGTTTGGTTTCAACCATGGTTTCAACCATCGTTCGAGTGGCTTTGTAATGATACCGAGTTCCTAAATCTAACACTGCAGTATTTTAATGCAATCCTCGAGAGGCGTTCTTTTGTTCAATTTAACTTAATTTTCAATTTATGTTTTGTCTGCTAATACAAATTTGCACTATGAGCAAAATCATATTTTTTATTTCCCGCATCTCAGCCACGTTCACTATTTTTTCGGTGATAATTAACCATCGTATCCCGCACGGGGCTAGAGAACGGCACTGTGTGACAGGGGCTACAGCGTTGGTATCTCTACTCGCCCCTTTTTCAAGTTCATGCACATAAAGAGGTGACATTCAGACAATTTCACTCCGAATGAGTCAGGGATACGTTCTGGGTATTTTTAATCAGAAAAGCGTTCTTCGTACCTTTTTTTCATCCAATGCATATTTAAAGCTGTATCTATGCCAACACGTACCGATTTCATTCTATGCAAACTATGGTGACCACACACTTGTAATTTAATGACTCGTAACATGTTTTGCATCATCGTCAATTTGTCAATCATCGACGATGTTTTGCATCATCGTCAATTTGTCCTCTCCGTTTTGTCGTCTCTTTGGTATAGAACTGGGTGACAGGACTCTTCGGCTCGTGGGACGACAACAGGGAAAACGATCTCCGCTCCAGGTCCGGGAAAGTGTTCGATCCCGACGACCCACCGGAGACCCTCTACAACGACTTTGGTCAATCCTGTAGGTGCCATGTATACATGTTTAAAAGCTGGGTGTGTTTGTAGCAGATATTCTGGGGTTTCTGAATTGTGTGACGAGGTATCGCGAAGTATGCAGAGTGAAATACTTCACAATATATTTGCCCAACCTTTCACAATTAGATAGAATATTGATTTTTAGTTCTTAAAGGTATATGGACACCATTACATTCGAGAATGAAACTACCGAAATACTAAGGGTCAAAATGTCAATTTTTTTTGCCGAGGGTTCCAGGGTCAAAATGTCGCGGAAAATGATCCGAAGAGATGACTTTTTTACCCGGAAGAGTGGCACTTTGTCCCTGAAATGTAGGTTATGACGCGGATTGAAATATGACGCGGATTCCGAGCATGGGCCTCAATTCTGGGGGGGGGGGGGGGAGGGGACAGGGGGACATCCCCCCCCCACACTTTTTGAAGGGTGGGGGACACAATATCAAATGTCCCCCCAGATTTTTGAACTTGTGTCTGATTTACAGGGCCCTACTACTATGTATCTTTTGCTTAGAAAATAGTGGTTAAAGTGGGCTCTGAACCACACGCCTATAGCTCAGAATGCCGGTAGCTGATTCAACGACTCGAAAACAATGTTAAAATAATTATCTTTTGCTAAGAAATAGTAGTTAAAGCATGGAAGAAAGCGGTAAGTAATTGCCTCAGATCACACAACAGAGCACCTAGAATCCAAATTTTAGCGGGCCCCTAACCCCACGCTGTAAGGGCTTAGCGCTTCGCGCTCGCATCAGTTCTGATCAAGGTATGTCCCCCTACTTTTGGGAAGCGATTGACGCCCCTGATTCCGCGGTTCAAATCGGACCCGGGACATGTCAGAGCGTGACTTGGTTTTCCTTGCAATTTGCCTCGAGATTGGCTTGCGATTGAAATTATCTTACATCACTGACTCTCTTACACCTGTTCTTGACGGGAATGTACATGTTACCATCCATTTTTCAGGGGAGATAGTTTCCGACCAATCCTTGTTTCACTACGAAAAGGGGCTGGGCCACGACTACTACCAGGACCCTACCTTCGTGCCGGATTTCACCCCGCCGACAGACGTGGAGTTGGACCGGCCGGAGGACCTGGTCCGGATCTGCCAAGGCAATCAGTTCTGCGAGTATGACCTGCAGACCACAGGGAACATCGAGGTGGCCAAAGCCACCATGCTGGCCTATGATCGGTACTGGCTCGCCTACGGAGCTTCCTTCGACTGTGAGTACTGTCTCGATAGGGTACATACCTATATGTTCCCCAATTCTATCCCTAACCCTAATCCTAAGGATTTCGGGGAACATTGGTATTGGGGAATATAGGTTTGGGGAACATCGGGTAGACCCGGTATCGATATACGGGATATTAAATCCACAGCCACATGTAACAAAAGTGTTTCAAATCAAAACACCTTTAGAATTCAATACCCACTTTCTTTCACATGTTTCATCTTAGCCATGTTTAATTTTTTTGCACAGTTTGAGAGTCCGTTAGTGGGTTCAGGAATCATGTGGAATAAAGTCAAGTTTAATATTTTGGAGCGTTTGAGACATTTGGTGATAAAGACAAGAGTTTGAGTCATTGTTTTGTTTACTTGTACAATACTTCCTGCTGTACTTATAGGCTTAAGGTCAAAATACACCTGGTTCACCAATCATTCCTGATAGAAAAACGATAAGCCCCCCCACACGCTTCTGAGTGAAGCGGGCAACAATACAGAATGGCCACCAAAAACCCTTCGCGGTTGGGTGCACTCAACTCCTCATGGACTTCGCTCAACAATAGAGAGCTTTTAGAACGATGCCTGAATAATGACACAGACATCCACACATCAGAACATGTCGTAGCTTCATATAAAAATTATGTAAAAGGTGGATGCAATTCAAGTGTTAAGAAATGTAAAAAGCAAACACAATTAGACGGGCTAATGTTTGGATCCTAACCAAAATCGTGGTCAAGGGAAAAATGTGTTAAAGTCTGAAACAGTTGTACTCGCATGATATTTTGTTCTTACTCATCATTTGCTGGTAACGTTATCAGTCTGTTTGATAAGAACAATAATTGCAAACGTCTTTGAAACTGAACTAGTGTTTTGGTGATGATGTTAATTCAACAAAATGTATTGAGGCCGAAATGACATTTTGCCGATGATAACCTTGAGTAATAGCCATTCAAACATGGGAATGGACAGGGATATGCCATTTCTTTTTTTAATTTCATATACTACTCAGCTCCAGACTTGTGTGTTGTATGTTTACTATCGTTGTGGCGGCTTGAAGCGGCGCACAGTTTTGAAAGGATGGCGGAATTCAGTTAAGGCTTGAGCATTTTAACTAACAATGCTGATCAGGAAAATCTAACCAAGCTGCATGACTAAAAAATAAATCTTCCCATCGTTGCTCATTGAAAAATTAATTGTGTTTTTCTTGCAGTAATCACCTGTGACTATCTTAAGACTCCCAAAAACGGCACCAAGACGTTCCTGAGGAATAAAAACCACCAGATAGGATCGGAGGTAAGAATTCATTGTCATCTAGACTGTTTGTAAGAAAGCTGGAAAATGAACAATAAAATCAGCTGGGTTTGTTTTTTGAATCGGTTTCCGTCAAACGATCATTCGCGTAGATGGAGGAGATCACATACGGGTCATTCAGTACATGTAGGTTCCAAAGTTTGACATCTTGTCCTGTCCCTGTTACCTTGGTACTTTGTCATTTACAATTCAGGCTTCCTTAGGAATGACTTCAAACGATTTCTTTTTTTCATTTGTTGGATAGGTATAGTTTGCTATTCAGAATTACTCCTGTATGGAGGACGACTGCTTTAATTAAGGAGTGCAAAAGAATTATATAATATAGACGTCAGATGTAACAGGGACAAGAAAAAAAGCGGACCCCAAATTCATGGCATGGCCCATATAAAAATAGTCAGCAACAACAGTGACTGCATTTGTGCACTTCTCTGAAGGATCCCTATTATACTGCACATTTCATACGCACCTGATGCAGCGAAACGCATGCTGAGTGCTTGCTTTTCCGACAAAACCACGGAATGATACTCCGTTGGAAGCCTGAGTACGTTGTCATGAGTACACCGGTTGCTTTCATGCTTTCTATAAAGCTCTGTTTTTCCTTCCCTTCTTTTTGTTTGAGCTAGTCCATGAGACGGCCGGTTGATAGACCTCATTCACAAAGAAGCCATTTGTATAAATTGCAAACTGTTGAATAGGATGGTGCCAGACTGTTTATGCGTTACACTGAGCCTCACTTTCATTTTTTTTGGTTTAAATGTGCCTTAAAACATTTGGTTATATTTAATCACATATCATAAATTATTCATCAGAGCAGATTGGTATTAATTTGTAATTTACTTTATTTCATTGCTATCATTTTTATTCGCTTTCGATTAAATATGGCCAACTCGTGAACTTAAAAAGCATATTTCTCCTCGTTGTACGTCACTGACTAACTTCAACTGACTCATTCTCGCTTGTGAATTAGGCTGGTCACCAATCCCACTGATTTTTGTTGTCAGTAAATATGCGAAAATGCGAAAAATGTCTAATGCGAAAAATGTCTACTGATTGTGTTTATTCACAGCGTATCTCTGTTTTAAAGGAAAACTGTTTGATTAAAACTCCTACAAGTTTTCTCCTACATTCCATTTTCTACAGTCTACTCTGAAAATTAACAGAGAATATTATGTAACATAATTAAGAAGCTTCAAAGACTTTTCTTTGCCACTCTGAATTATCCAGGTTGAATTTTCCTGCGAAGATAGTTTCATCCTCATCGGCTCCCCATACCGGGTGTGTGAGCCACCCCAAGTGAACCAAGGAGAGTTCCGTCAGGGCCAATGGAGTGGCAACTCCATCGACAACGACTGTATCGGTAAGCTATGGACGGCCAATCAATTTAAAAAAAATATATAGCCACAGATTGTCAGTCTTTGAGGGCACGTGTGGTCTACCAGTATAGAGAGCGTATAGGATTCACGGTCGAGAGGTTGTGGGTTCGAGCCCTACCGTGGCCATGCGTGTTGTGCCTTGAGTAAGGCGCTTTACCTCAATAACTTCTCTCAACCCAGGTGTTAAATGAGTACCGGCATTATTCAATGCTGGGACGGTAACAGACTCGCTGTGGGGGAGGTGTGGCGATCCCCCCACAGCAGCATTTCATAAAATACGCTAATGTCTCTTAAAATATACGGCAGCAAAAAGACAGTAGGCTAACAGAGACGAACACGTGAAATTGAAGAGTCTTTTCTTCCATTTCTGACCAATTGTTTTTGCTGGACTCGATAAGGGCCAGCCTGAGTCACTGAGGGAGTGACTGACTGACCGACTGACTGACCGACTGACTCTCCGTCTGACTGACCATCACTAGCCCGGTTGTTGGTTGGTGAAGGAATGTCCCGCAATGGGATCAATCTGACCCATTGTGCACACCAGACGCACGAAAAGACTTCCAGAGAGCCATTCTGAATCAAGGGCGGATCCCAGTACATATTTTTTTTGGGGGGGGGACCCAAATTTGGCCCCCCAAAAAGTGGGTCGAAAAAATTACGGCGTGGGGTTCGGGGCCTGCCCAAGAGCCCCGAAAAATGCTCTGTTGTGCGACCCGGAGGCAGCTGACCACGTTAACTTTTTTTTTTTTAGGAAAAGATGATGGTGTACGCAATGCCTGCCTTTATTGTGACGTCACTTTAAAAAAAAAGGGGGGCGGGGGGTCGTTTTCTTCTTTTTTGGGGTTGCCGCCCCCACCGGATCCGCCCTTGTTCTGAATCGAGTGTGCGGTCGAAAAACCAACCTTGCCAGACATTTCATGTTCTTTTTGGTTGATTCAGAGAGTCAAATTTGTGGCGGACTTCCAACCCCAAAGCACGGCAGCATCGATGTGCAGGGTCCCCCAGAAAACATGAAGGTGATCTACTCCTGCGACGAGAACTACGACTTGTACGGGCGAACCGAGCGCTACTGTGATACCGAGCGGGAGAACTGGCTGAACATCGAGCCGTACTGCTACCGTGAGTACTGACATTATGAAAGCTACAATCCCGGCCAAAAATGGTTGGGACACTCCTTAGCCTCCCACGGTCACCCACTCCCCCGCTCCCCCGGTCAAGATTGTTCTCTCCTGTTGATGGAGCACACACTGCGCAATGAGCTAGAGACAACATTGAGCGGTGGCCTGGGGGTCGGGGGCCCAGCGAGATTAGACCAGGATTGTATACTCCTGTTGTGTAATGTGGGAGGGTATACTGAAGAACTTTGTTACCTAGACGCTCCTAGACGCCGAAAGCCAGTTCAGACGGTTGTTCAGTTATATATCACAATTTAAGAAAACATTAAAGGGGAAAATGTACCGTTTGGGAAATAAGATTTATACTGTACATGTTCTGTACGTTTTCACAACCGCACAACTATTTTTTTTTCATTATTAAATGGATGTATAACATTTTGGAAATTAACTCTTCAATCGTTAATTTTGCAATACTGCGATTGCACGGCTACGTGTTTGTTGTAAATCCTTGTTCATGTTTTCCCACACACTTGGGTCATTTTGTTAAACGTGTACCACTTTTAGGGATAATGTGGATGTAACTAATTAATATTTTATTGATTTGAGTTTATCAGTAAGCCTGCTCTATAACTTATATCCTATATTTCGGGTGTAAATGTATGTGGATTTACTGTACATTATGACTGAGGTATATGCGTCAAGGTTCAATCGACGGATTTACAATTAATCCCGACCGAGATAGCAGGAACTGAAATGGAATACTAATAATTTGGATAATAAGTTCGTATATACCCTTTATATCAGTGTATAATAATTGTGTGTGTGTTCTAACCGAATTGACATACAAACTAAACCCTACCGAGATAGCGGGAACTTTCATAATGTTAATAATTCGGATAGAATTATGCCGAGCTCATAATATCGTGATAGGTGCATAATCAGTTCATATGCCCCGATCAGCGTATAACAATTGTACGTGTCTTGATCCAATCGACAGATAAACTGAACCCGCTCGAGATAGCAGGAGCTGTGATAGGAGGCATCGCTGCCCTGGTCGTCTTCATTGTCCTCATCGGTATCTGCTGCGTCCTGCAGTTTCGGTCTCGCAAAAGGAAAGCCCAATTCCCGGTAAGAGCCCAAGTACATTTTGTTCACATCAAGCTGCCATTAGGGAGCGCTTTGTCATCGACCTAATTATGTGTCCTAAATAGCAACATCAGCAGCCACAACAACAACAACATAACATCATAACACTGCTGACAAATGAGGAAAACCAAAAACAAGTTCAGCAGTAAAAACTGCAGAAAAGAAACGGCATCTCACGCAGCCAATTTTACTCCCCTGACCTGCTCCCTTCCCTTAAACAATCACCAGGGAAGCAAGAAAAGCAAGAAGCAGCAGAAACGGCAGCAGCACAAGGATGACATGCCGGACATTGGTGGTCGTGAGCCCGCGTATCAGGTCAGAGACACACCCGTGGAGGTCCAGCGTAGCCATGAGAAGACTGCTGCCGAGCCGCTGCACAGCGAGGACCCGTACGCCAGACAGATGCGCCAGCAGCTGCAGTCGCGTCCTCAGTACACCAACGTGCCGGAGAAGGCATACAGGGTAAGCAAGACGGGACGCCATGACATAAATTAAACAACCCCCCCCCCCCCACACACACACACACACACACACATTTTCAACACCAAGGGCGGATCCGGGGGGCCAACGGGGGCCATAGCCCCTCTCAAAACGAACCCATTATTTTTAAAGGTATAGTCCATCATTTGTAATTTGTGCATTTTGTTCGTTTGAAGCAACAAAAGTGCACAAATTCTAAAGAAGGGTACTGAACAACTAACCTGACGACGTTTCAGCTTAGCTTCAGCTGTATATTCCGAGAAAAACTGCATTCTAGGATCTCAATTTCAAATCAAACGTTGCTGAATCATGTTTTGAAGTGGGCCTGAATTCAGCATCCGAGACACGTTCTCACTGAGCCGATTGCAGCTACGCCGATTGCAGTGCGCGAGCACTGATCCGACGAATTATAGCAACCACGCGCACGTGTGCGTCGTGCAAATGCTGGCGCGCACTTCGCCGACTAACAAAACGAACTACTAATTTGAATTTTCCTACGGTGCGTCTTAAGAAGCACCGTTGGAAAGGCCTTCTTTTGTTGGTTTCTTCAAAATGACAGCTTGCCAGAAAGAATAATTTCACAGGGAGTTTAGTCCCCTTTCTATCTTTCAACCAAGTATGTTTTTCTACAATAATTACGCCAGTTAGTTTTCGGGTAGCTGCAAATGATGGACTCTAGCTTTAAGTGACGTCGCAGTAAAGGCAGGCACTGTGTACGCCATCTTTTCCTCCAAAGATTTGGTTAAAGTGGTCAGAAATTGCCTCAGATCGCACCACAGAGCATCTAGAATCCAAAAACATTTCGGGGCCCTTAAATGGGCCCCGAACCCTACGCCGTAATTTTTGGGGCCCACTTTTGGGGGATAAATTTGTTTGCCCCCCCCCTCCCGAAAATGTGTTCTCGATCCGCCCTTGTCGAACACCCCAGCAAACAGACGCACCATTTCTTGTACAAGGTAAGAGCTGCACAATGTAATATTAATCTGGCGACCTAACTCTATCAAAATTCTTTCTTGTTGTCCTTTTTCTCATTTTAGCCCATTTCTTACCTTTGGACCTTACGTTTCTGGTTATTTGTCTTTTCTCCCTCCCCAATCCAGCCAAGTCCCCACTCCTCTCAGACCCTGGCTTACCAGGAGAAAGCCTACAGGGTAAGCAAGATGGGACGCCATGACATAAATTAAACAATCCCCCACATTTTCAACACCCTCTCAAAACGAACCCATTTTGTTTAAGTGACGTCGCAGTAAAGGCAGGCACTGCGTACGCCATCTTTTCCTCAAAAGATTTGGTTAAAGTGGTCAGAAATTGCCTCAGATCGCACCACAGAGCATCTAGAATCCAAAAACATGTCGGGGCCCTTACATGGGTCCCGAACCCCACGCCGTAATTTTTGGGGCTCACTTTTGGGGGGATACATTTTTTTGCCTCCCCCCCCCCCCCCCCCTCGCGAAAATATGTTCTGGAGCTGCACAATTAAATATTAATCTGGCGACCTAACTCTTTCAAAATTCTTTCTTGTTGTCCTTTTTCTCATTTAGCCCATTTCTCACCTTTGGACCTTACGTTTCTGGTTATTTGTCATTTCTCCCTCCCCAATCCAGCCAAGTCCCCACTCCTCTCAGACCCTGCCTTACGATGAGAAGGACCCGTACAATGCGCCCAGCAGGATGCCACCGCCTGAGATGATCTCACCGGCCGAGCCTCGCTACGGCTACACCGACCCTGACAGTGACTTCCCTCCACCACCAACCACACCGTAAGTTTGATAACTTGATAAAGTTGATCCAATTAAAGCAAAAAATAATCTTATGCCGTCGCTTTGCGTACATTGTAAGCTCTGTGTATATTGCTAATACTTTAGAAATATTGAAAAGTTATGAAGAGACGCATGCTTGGTTGGTGCTTTTGCCTGTCAGAACCAACAGGCATGGCACCACTAGGTATGGGAGGGCGCCCTCAAGTTTGGAAATGTCAAACGGTGAAAAAATGGTTCATTTAAACAAAATACTTGCACCAAGTGTAAGACTATGCTATCAATCTCAGTGCACACCTTTATTTTGAAACGGGAATATAATGCATGACATATGACTTATACTTGGATTGACAGACAGATAGATAACGACAGATGTGTGTTTCAATGGGACATTTTCTAATCTGGGCCATGTTTTGGTCGACTTCGTCTCTGGCGCTGCTTAACAGTTAGCAGAAAAGTTGTGCTTAGCATAGCAAAAAGAATTACGAACCTTAAGCACTATTTCACGGCGTGGACGTGCTAACGGTCGCGCGTGCATGGCGATTTATATTGTTACGTCACTAAGTTAGGCAAATATTTCCTCTGAAGTAAGCGTGCCTTTTGCTGTGCTTATGCTTAATGTCTCCATGAAATAGACGGACGCTCTGTTAGCAGAAAATCGTGTGCTTAGCAAGGCCGTGAAATTGGCCCCTGTTCTAAGTGCGCGTTTGCCGTAATATTGAAAGTAAATAAAGGACTTCAAACGTTGGCTTTCTATTGTAAAATCTGATGTGCCTGTTCTAGCAGATGGGTCATATTTGGCCAAAAACCTCATATCTCAGAGGGAAGAGGCCTAAACTCGAGATAGCCGAGGTTTAGAAAAAAAAATGATAAATCTGCCCTGGCACAAATTGGTCTCATGAGGGCGCTAGCTATTAAATTTCACAATAAATCGGCACTTATCATGAACACATTTCTCTGCTGCTTTGTTTACCTAGGATGGTTGGCGAGGAGATCGAGTTGGAGCTGCAGCCCGGGAAAAGCCTGGAGAGCTGGGCCTAGACTGGCCACAAGTCCTCCCATCGTGTACCAACCATCCGTTTAATCACCTGGGTCTTGACTGGCCATTCGTCCTTCCATCGTGCGTCAACCATCCACGGTGACTCCTTTACCTTGGTCTGAACTGGCCACTAGTCCTTCCATCATTATGTCCATGATACTCTTTTGGTTTGGAAGCAATGCATTGTAGAAATATTAGGCTTTTCAGTTTAGAAGTCATTTAGCCAATGAAGCGGCTTGTAATTCAAAATACAAAATAACAAAGCTAAAATCATTGAGGGCACACTCTGATTATGATTGATTTCAGAAGCCTTGCTGCGGGACCTTAGATTGTTTACAGTCGTACAGATCTCTATATATATTTGAAATATCCCATCATAATTTTTGTCACTGAGTGGAATTAAACAAAAAGATAAACATTATTTGCTGGCTAATCTATGCAAAATATTGATCAACTTCATATATACATTAGTGTCACATTTGAATCATTTTTGTTTTATTTCGTTAAACTTTCCAAAATTATAGTAAACTTTCATTTAATTGCCTAACTCATAACAGTATAGGAAATGCGTATCCGAAGTTTTGTTATTTTCGTTATTTTTCTTTCATTGTGTAAAACGTGTCCATTTTTCCCAGTTTATACCGTAGGCCAAACGTGTATATATTTTGCTACTTTTAAAGTTCATCAAGAGTTCATTTAGAGTGGAAAATGGGGATTTTTTTCCCGTTTTTGGAAGTATAGTTAGCAGACCTATACAATATTAAACATCCTTAGAGTAGCCTAACCACAAAGTAAAGTTTGCCTTTGAGAAAGGGTTTGGTCCTTGAGTTCTGCCCGGACCGAAATGTTAGCCATAATTGTTTTATTTCTACATTCAAGTCAATCCAATCAGTGCAGTAGGCAGTTTGCAGAAGTTTTATTCAGTTTCGTGTTTAAAGGCTCAGCCTTGAAGTATGATGGGTAGGCCTTTAGTTAGGTTGAACATAAGTTGGGTGTTATTAGAACTTTAATGTTATTAGAACCGCGCTTCCGGAGATTCAGTGGTTCATTAAAAAAGTTCAGTGAGTACTCGAAACATGCGATTCAAACTATTTAAAAACGTGTGCGCCTGCCAGTACTTTTGAAGTAAGTCTAGTAACTTGTTTGCCACACAATAGATCTATTAGCTTTGTATTTGAAGTCATGGCACCATTCGCGAAATAGATGGTCGTACATGTACAGCATGTTAGTTCACTGTTCTCCATGGGATTATGTAGTCTGAGGATCGGACGGTCACGTGTGCAGAGCCACACTTCAAACTTGTAATAAATCCGTCCACCGCGCGCCAGCCAAACAGAGTTGCGACCGTATTTAGAGCAGAATTCGGCCAATGTTGTTGATTGGTCAAAAGCTGCTATTTTTGTTTCGTCATACAAATTCGGGTAACCGAAGACACGATAGAAGGAGCCCGCTGAAAGGTCAGAATCTGCAGGTCAGGACGTGTTGTTTTGCATAATCTGCTCGAATGTCGTAGACTATTGATTTAGTTTAGGTTCTGATATTTTGTTGCGAGCTTTTTGAAGAAGCACGTATTCATTGCAGACTTTTGAATATTTTGTGCAAAAAATGAAGAACAAATATTATATTTTAGAAAGAGAATGCATCCTCGTTTCTCATGGATGGATTGGATTTTCGTCATCAGCTTCTTTCTTAGTGGAATGGAGCAGAAGATTTTGGGTAGGCTACTCGCGTACATAAACTGACATTGATTTTTTCCCCTGTTTCTTGTTTGGTTTCTTCTCTGAGTTTTTGATTTTGTTGCTTTGCTTGTTTTCTAGCCGGCTGTAGTTGATAGCGTTACAATAGCATTACTTGCAATTAAAAATAGCTTTGTTAACGGTTTGACTTGGCTAATTGACATCTTCGCCTAATTTGAAATGATGCATAAAACAGCCGTATACCATTCTGAACTCTCACGGGTGATTTGTCATGACCTGATACGCGGGCTTGCGACTACGTCACTGTTTGGCATTTATATTATTACGTCAACCACTAGACTTATATGATTAGCAGTTAGATTTTCGCATTTGTTTTTTAAAAAAGAAGTTGTAAATACTCGCATTTCTTAGCGCATTCCTAGAGGAGAGAAACTAGTCGCTCAGTTTCAAATGCTTGTGTTATTAATTTTTGCCTCGAATTTTGATTTTTAATGTTATTTTTGCTCACCAGATTCATTTTTGTATATGGTTAAATCAACATTAATTAATAGGGATTCGGACTTTTTGCGCATGCGCACAAGTCAGCACACGTGATGACTGATTACACATGCGCTACTTTGGGTGACCAATAAGGGTTGATATTGCCATGGTATCAAAGATACTGAAAACTCAGTTGTACCAAGTGCCTAAGTAAATCTTACAATGGTGTCAATGTTTCTCATTAATATGATATGATTTTCGTTACTAGATGTAAAAAAGAATAGAGACTTGAGGATTAATTTCGTATACTTACATAAATAATGGATGTGCGGAATGAAATATTTTGATAAGTCAGTTTTTTTTTATTTGGATGTAATTTTGTGTATATTTCAATACAAATGATAAGTAATGCATCATAATGAATAAAGGTTTTGAAATACCCCAAAAATTGCAATCACGAGTTTTTTAACATATTGTAATCGAACGGCTATTCAGTCAAAAAGGGACAGTGAGGTCTGTATTTTTTTTCCATTATATCGTATTTAATGTGATGCTTCTTTTTCCTTGTATCTTTCTTTGGGGGGCGTGGTTAAGGATAAAGGAGACTGATGAAAAATGCTTTCAAATATTGACGAATAGCTAACATAATAAACAGCGAACTATAGAATTTTAAAAGATGTGACAACAACAATATTACCATACTACGTTCATTCATTGTTTTTGTTTGTTCATATATGCATCTGATACATGACATTTTATTTACACTCGGCTGCATGTCAACAGTTCCGGAATGATGTCATATTCCATGCTGTGCATTCATACACGAAATATGCGATGCAAAATGCTTTCGTTGGAAGAAATAAAGTTATACATGTGTCAATTTGAGCTGAAGTAAGTTCCATTTGTGGTGCCTTCTGCCAAAATCAGACTTAATTAAAATGTGACGTTGAATACAAAACAGTGCACACCAAACAGTCAAATTGTTGGGGGAAACGAAACAAAACGAACTTCGAGTTAAAAACAGTTCTTTTTAAAATGTGAAACAGCACTTTCAATAAATTCATCATTTGAGGTTTATCATTATGAAGATTTCGAACTAAATAATCTTAAACATTTTGCCTTCCTTTTTAGGACTCTTTAATTACAAAAAAACACTGTTACAAAGTAAGAAACTTAATGGAAATCCTTCTTGTTGTTTAGTTTACTTTTGAACCTAAGACGACCAGCAATGTAGATTTTCAACAGAAAGCACCGCCTGCCCCAAAAGAATAAAATCCTTTTTTTAATGGTATAACTTTAAACATAACTGTAAAACACGTCCACTGAATTTACTTGTAACAGTTGAACCATAAACAAAATCATAAAGTTGGACCCTGCAAAGACAATACTTAGAAGTGTATCACATATCAAAACACAAATCGTGGTCTGGGGGTTTGAGTAGAAGGAATAACGACTCATAGTCAATCGTCAGTGCTAAGTTGTTGAAGGCGTTTTTGTAAACCTACATGTGGTCATACATTTTTAAAGCAACTCCCGCCGCATTGATTTATGCATAAACCAACCGAGAACAGGTTGCCAACCTATTGCTCTTGCACACGTCCTCGGTGTTTACCATGAGAACATGCATTATAAACACAGCGAGAATTCGCCTCTGAGGACTCGGAGTTCCGGGAACTCGGAACAACGGTTACCTGAGATAATCATTAGTTCGAGTCCTCGGTATTTTTCCTGTACAAACCTGATGGGATATGTCGAGAAAGTTTTGTCTCAACAATAGGAACAAAATAAGGCAAAAGAATGGGTCCTCAGAATTACAGACTATTAAAACCAGACTATGTGTGAGGACTTGAGCCCAAGGAATGGGGGGGGGGACTCCGTGTGTAACGAAAGCCTGGATTCTTAAACGAGCACAGAATGTCTGATAACAGGATGTCGGTGACAAATTATAAAGACAGTTTGCGTTATGGAATTAAATTGTTAATAAATGAAGACTCCTCAAACTCAAATTCTGGGTGCATGATCTGGGTTGCCACTTTCTCCATCCTGTATAACACCATGAATAATTGTGGTGAGCATTTGTACATGGAGGGGGGCCCGAAAATGTGGAAAACTCCGGATTTGTTGCACCATGTACCGTCAAAGTATTTTCTTTCCGTTGGGCAAACCCGCTTCGTAGACATTTTAACATCACTATTGTGCATTTATAAAAATTAACAGGCAAGACTAGGCATTACATTTTGGTGTCAATTACATTGGAGCCATCTTTTCAATGATTTGAACACCAGACATACGATAAATCTTAAAAGGTTTGTACAACTTTTTGAATGCATGAACGCAAAAACTTTTCAGAATATATATCTCTAAAAATTCAGACACAAAAGTAGCCACACACGTGGCATTGCCTTGAGCACAAGCTTAAAGACCCAACAACATTAACTTTACCTGGCAGGTATGGCATGCAAAGAACAAGAAACCAATTTTTGTGTAACTCGAAGGGAAAAAAAACTACCAAAACTTTCCGAGCATACTTTTTTCTGTGTGTTTCAATAGCTGGGAAGATTTTTTTCTCACACGCTCCACAAAACTGAATCGAATACTTAACAGTGTCAAACACACGTAGCGTGTTGTATATAAGCGAACAAAACATCAAGTTAAACAGAAATTGCCTATGTGAGAAGCCCCCCCAAAAAAAAAAAACAAAAAAAAAACGTAATCTACTAGCCAAGTCAACACAATTAAAGATAGTTTAAAGAGGTTTTGGAATGCTGAAAGTCGTTTTTTTTACATTTTTTTTTTATTGTAGAGTAGACCCATATATATCAAAATGACAAAGTCCCATTCTTTTGTAATGTGCGTTTATATGTTTATAAAACTGAAATTCATCGAGTAATTTGTTGGTCGGCGAGCGCATAATTGAAATCAACAGTCGTCGGGTTCTTCGTAAAATGAGAAAAATCGTGACGTAATAAACAGGTCCTGTTTATTACGTCACGATTTACTATGTTTTGTTTGCTGCCCCCAACGACGATTTTTACACAAATTGCACGTTCGGGTCGAAACAGGACCTGAAAAACAGCTCTCAAATGTACCTTTTGTATTCATTTCATGACAGACACAATAGTCGTTTTTATTTCATCACACCTTAGGCTACATATACCCTAAAAATGACGGAAATGTCTTCGAGCATTCCACAACCTCTTCAATGGATATAACTGACTTGTTCATTTTAGTGGAATACTGTTTACGCTTGGATAAATACACAATGTGTTTAGGACACGAATCTTGTGATGTGCTGCGTCAAAGTCATTGCATAATGTGGTTCATTCCTCGTACAATAGTGAGGGTCATACATCAAGCACATGGTTAAGGTATGATATATAGCAAATGGCGAGTCTAAGAATCTCGATTTTGGAGAGTTTCTTGTCTGGGGGAAGCGTTGGGAGTAGTTTGCGAAGCTCACCAAACGCTACGTTGAAGGCCTCGACCCGGATGCGTTCCCGGGTGGCGTGGGCCGTGCGGTACTTGGTAGTGGCTCGCCGTCTACGGCGTCGCTCCTCCCGGGATAAGTGAGCGTCGGCCCGCTGCTGCTGCTGGACCACCCCGCCCCGGCAAGTAGTGGTGGTGGTGGCGGCTGTAGCATGGTTCAACAACGTACTCGCTTTCATGTTCTCGTTCTGCTCGGCTCCTAGCTCAGCCCCGCACGAGAACTCGCGTGGCTCCTCCTTGACGGCCGCCGGTAGAGGGAGCACGATGCTAGGGATGGAGGACCGTGTGGCTCGCATTACAACGGTGGCTTTCTAATGAATATGCAAATCCTTCGTGACGTATAAGAAAATTTCTTCCTGATGAATATGCAAAGTCCGTTCGAGGAACCCTTCCTGATGATAATCGATTGAACATCAACAAAATTGATAAAATAGATGTCAAACCACCAAACAGCTCGGCCACTTTGGGTGAATCTACTGATTTTGTTCTCTCCAAAGTGCTCTCAACTCTAACTGAGGATTCCTGCGTCTTTTATGGTACTTCGTGCCAATTCGTCACTCCGTTCATTTCTGTCGTGAGATAGGGCTGAAGTGAAGGGTCCGAACTGTAACAATAAAAGAGAGGGAGAAAAAAAACCTTATAAATCACAGATAATCAAGAGGGCGGCATATATAGTTCACAGTTGTACCAAACTGGCTTCAGTGTTGGTAATTAGCACTTTTGTGAACTAAGCAGTTTTATTAAATTGGCTTCGAGTGTTTGTGACAAGTTCTCTATTAGCGTGTTACAATTTGTTTGCCACCCAGAGGAAAATATGACACACTTAAATCGTTCAATATTTATTTTATTTAGGCAGGTATAGGCCTACCTTACTTTATTTCCAGGAAGCACAACACAATCGAGGATGGATTTATGAGAGTCCTCAGTTATACCCTCAGGCCAAAAAAATGAAGCTAACATCATCCAACAAAACAGATAACCAATCATCCACTTCGTTAATATCAATAACAATATCAATAGTGAATGGCGAGATGTTTGCATTATCTCTAATAATTCATCATCTCTACACCGGGCCGAAAATACAAAAATCTATTATGCATATATGGAGCGCGCCTGCGGCAAAATTGACAGTTTTCGGTTTCGCTGTTTTTACATTTTGCAGAGCCGAGCGGGCCCGGCCGAGTTACCCGGGCCGTGCGTCTCGGGGGCCTTGCTCCTGATTTCCCCCCGCCGCACGGGACTCGATCAGCAAGAGTTAATCCGATGTAATATCATACACCTCCGCCTTGCGTCCCCTTGGAGGAATCGGCAACATGGAGATTAATGTATATGGTAAAATGATATTGAGTCTGTCGACGGCTGTTGCATGTCTTGATAATTACTGGTGGTGTACACAAAGTGGTGGGCAGCCGTGTTAGTCAGGCAAAATCAAATGGAAAAGTAACGTAGCATTTTTAAAATTACAAACTAAGTTTGCATAAGCTTTGGTGTGCAGTAAGCCTTTAAACATAACATGTCATATATAAGACTTGCCACAATTTCAAATTGGTGATAATAACAGTGAACTTGACAGACATATACTTGGATGGTGCTTGAATTTGCACATCAGTCTGACCCCTATTCGCCAGGCAATTAAATGGACCCAGAGCATTGTCAACCTATAAAGACAAATTGCTTTAATTGTATTTGTAAGTTGTATTTGAAGAAAGGTAACTACAGAAAACAAGCTTGACCGCTGTTATAACGCTGATGAAGTTACTTACTACATGCATACGTAGTTTAACTAGTTGTGCACGGAATTAGTAGCGAAGCTTTAGGAACTCCATGTTACGCGTAATTTAATAATAATAATAATAATAATTTGGGAGGCTAATCATCCTTACTCGCAGCTGGGATGCTGAATTGCGAAGGACGCGGCTACAACGTGGTCGGGCCGCTGGCACGTAAAGGCGCCTCTGGCTGCCGGCCACAATGAAAATCCCCCCCCCCCCCCTACCGCACATCACGACCAAAAAGGTTTTGACTTCACTCTGGGCAGATTTGACGGTAAAACGGTTAAATTTCACCCGACATTTTGGCCCATTGTAGGGTGCATCTGAAATCAGTCGATGTAACTTTTCGAGGAAAGAGTTACGACTGGTAACCTATACGCTGTCGTTGGAGAGGAATCTAATCCAAAGCTAAAACCAGAGAAACTAGACAAACAACTCGGTATTTTGACTTGGTTGGTCAGGTGTTGCATGCTACACCTGTCGGGAAAAAAAGTGCAGGGACGGCAGGGGAGGGCATATTCTTGCACACAAAAAATTAATCACCGTGGTGATGATACCCACTGACTCATCAAAAGAATGGGATTGAACGAGATGTGGCGTTGATGTCTTTTCGTCCCCTCGCTCCCCAGTGCAGCAGTGTCATTTCATTAAAGTTTCATGGGTGAATTATTGCACAGCGGGCATATAGTACATTATATAGTGGCGGTATTCTATTCCCAAGTGTGTCTTTTACATAATATTCATATACCCCGGATGATTATACAGTGAAGTTCAGTGTCGTCGTGGGTCCGGTGGGCGATTAATAAAGTCCCGTGTAGTCATTATGATAGGGGTAGGTACGGTTGATTATACAGAGGGAGGGGCCAAACACACTAGGGGAGTTCACGAAACCTCGGTTGGTTTCCAGGTTCGGTTCCAACTTCATGATTTTAGGGACCCTGTATTTGGGGATGCCGGCTTGGTACAGAAACACCGAATCTTACAACATATAGCCAAAGTTTAGAATATTTTCATTAAGTCTTAGATGCAATTAAGGTTTCTGAATGATTTATGAACCAGAGCAGGAGAACATCCAAGGTTTGGCAAACACCCTAGGACTAAAAAAAAATCGAATCGTCGATCATGTTCAGAAATGTAGGGCTCAAGGCAAATCGAGGGCCCAATTTCACAATTTTCAGGGTCCTCCGTCAATTTCTCTCAGACAAACATAAAAGGAACGAGCAGTGCACGCAAACTTCGAAGGAAGAATTTTGTTCGAAATATTGAAGTAAATTAAAGTAATCAGCATGTCTATGTTTGTACATAAATTTTGTGCATCTATATACGCCTATACTATTATAGCAGATTTTTTTGGCCAACGGAAATAAGCTTTCAGGATACTACTGGCCCAGGGTTGGATTTCGACAACGTTTCTGATATAAAGATGGCTCCGTCAATGCCCAGTGTAAGTCAAAGACAGCTCGCTATGAGAAGGGCACATGGCGTTTCAGATGGCGATCTATTGTTGCTATCTTGAGAAAGTGACTTTCTTAAGAAAGTGACTTGTTGTCTGTGTAAGCAATTTTGTTGGAAAGTAGTGCTCTAGTGAAAGATCATCACTACTAATTAACACAGAAAACCAATCGAACCAATACAACGACGTTTATATCAAAAGTGCATATACATTTACCTTTTGTAATGGCCACAATGTTATCCTTCACACTGTTTTTGGATGTTCATTTTTAGTGGATAATGTTTAAAATCTAGTACATCATATCAAATCATTTGGCTAGAGACAAAAAAGTCCGAACACAATACGAGAACTTGGGAACGTGAATTTGTGAAAATCATGTCTATCCCTTTCACAAAAGGCAAACGACTTTAAAATCTGAAGAAACAAAAATCCTAAAAAAAGAAAAATCTACCGGCCATTCTGGTAAACCATTGCTTCACTCATGCCTATCAATGCCAACTGTCAGTCATCCCGGGGGAGGAACTCTCTGAACCAACACGGGTAACCCCGGGGGCCCACCTCTCCAAACTCGATACAAGCGCGTGCCGCCCGCGAGACGTGCCGCCGGGGTCTCGCGTTGTTGACGATCCGCTGTCAGCACCATTTACTTTCGTCGTTTAAACTGACTGCCGCGTCGGCTCGGCTGCCGTAGACTTCTTACGAGCCGGCGGTATGTCCGCAGGCAGGCTACTCGATCGAAACTAACTTGAGAATTGTGGGGAGGTTAAGTTCATCTCACCTATAGACTGTTAAATTCCGCTGGAGGTAAGATCCGTGATTTCGAGGGGGGACAAGTTGACTTTCCTTTGATGATTTCTGTTTGGTGCATGTGTACAAAGAATCGCCCCGTGCTGCAATACTTGACTTGTAAATTCCCTATAGTTCCCTTAAAAAATGCTTTCTTTTCTTTCCGGCTTATAGTGAAGATGTCATGACTATTTCCCTTTGTTCACACGCAGATTAATATTCACTTTAAGCAATGATAAAGGGCTGTTTCTGACACATACAACAGGTCCCTATATACGGAAGCATAAGCCGATCAACCTGTTCATTTTCTGAGCAAGTTACGCTATCCTTTTTTGTTCTTTTCTTTTTTTTAATCATATTGTTCGCCTAACCAGGGTTGTTAATAAATATATTGTGTTCTACAGTTGTTGACAGTTGTTGAAACAAGTATTCTGTGTCATTTCTTCGTTGTTCCAAACAGTCAGAATACACAATAAATTGCTTCTTTTGGACAAGACAGGTTTTAGGGTCATTGCGTTTAAATGGTGATATTCTTTGAACGGATTGAGCAATTTCTGTATTAAAAAAAAAAGTAGCTGATGAAATTGGCTTTCCAGTCATTATTAATTTTGGTGCGACATATTTTTTAGAATATATAATATATTTTATGGGGATTGGGTTCCGCTGTTTTGACTCACCCTGTACAATGACAATCAGCATCCGTTATTGCGGAATACTCTGCAAATTGTGTTGGTTTCGTCTTCTTTTCATTTAAAAAAGAAAAAGTAAAAGGTAAAATACAGGGGAAAAATACCCCAATCAAAGTTGTTTCTGAGATTCTGATTAGAAATGTAACGAATTAGGTCAGCGATTTCTAGACTGGAATCGAGTCTAACCCTCCATCGTCGGTGGTGCGACACAAGCAGCGGTGTACGGTATACGGTTCCTTGCCCAACGAAAACAAAGATCATCGGGGAAAACATTGTCTGATATTACGGGCTGTGGACGCGCGTCTTGTCGTCGGGGGTCGGTTTGCAAAAGATGTCATGGGGATTGGGGAGGTTTCGCGCAATTGGTTTCAGGGTCGCGCGTAATGACGATTTGAGTGTTGATGTTTCAACAGTGTCGAATTACTTTTGCCAAACATCATGTCACACGTGAATTATCGTTCATGTAATTGACTCCTGTGAAAAGAATTAAGTCAAGTTACGTAGGTGTAGCTTCTGAGGAAAAAAAATCTTAGATTTCTTCTTCTTTTAAAACATTTAGGGGTCAAACTGTGATCAAACATTAAAATGTAAGGGAACCTGAATAATGAAGTCGTGAAATATGGAACATGTTCAGGCAAGGAAGTAAGTGAAATATTCATGAAATGTAACGCTGCATCACGTTATTTGACACAGTGACGTAATTAGGGTTAAACTTCTGGAATTGGGGGGGGGGACACCTGTGGTTGCACCATTTTTTCAAGGGGGAACTCTAGGCAAACTATAGATTATTTTTGTTCGATTCAAGATTTTAAATTGGGGAGTCGGGGTACCGACATCCACGGGGGGGGGGGGGGGGCACGTGCCCCCCGGGCCCGCCGTAGTTACGACACTGTTTCAGGCCTAT